TCGTTTCCGTCGTAAAACACCTCTTCCGTTCTTCCGTTAACCTTCGAGCCCCCTCCCTTCAGGGTTCGTTTGTTCCTATCGCACAGGCGTAGTAAGTTTCTCCTTTTCTTTGTTTCCACTGAAATATCGTTGAATATATATTATGAAATTAATAAAAAGTACATCGGGCGTAGAAGAATTTGTTCATCGAGTTCACCGAACATTCTTCGAAACCACGCAACGATCTCGAAGAAGCAGGTGGCCGACCCATGGTGAAAAACGAACATGTCCAATCATTACCTTGGAAGGTGGTATTGAGTTCAACCCTAGAGTCCAAACTCTCGCTTTCGACTCTTTCAAACTTGTCAATCACCAGTTATGAAAATATCAAATAGATATTCTAGTTCTAGACATAACAGATATTCTGTTTTATTTTTGCTTTCCAATAAGAACACTCTGATCATTGATCACGAGCTTTTTCGATTGTCTCTTCATAGAAGATCCACACCTTCCCACCTTGTTTTTGACGCTGGACCACCCGAAAGCGGCGCACCCATCCGGGTAGACAGGAGGGTAACTCGAGATCCTGAGATGGTCATGCTGGTACCCAATGTCAGGGCTCTTCTGTTCATCTTTTGTTTCCAAATGGAAGCTTTCCTCTCATTCACCTTCACCTCTTTCCTTTTTATCCTCGATTCTAACTCCTTATCGGCGTAAAGTTCAATTTGTCAGCTGTTTCGTATAGCCTCTGACCTTTAGTTAGACCTCGATCGACGCGCTTATCGATGCTCTAAAAAGCAATCGTCAGCATGAAAATCGTCTCGTATGTTTCAGCTCCTATTTATTCGACGGGTATCCTTATACTTCCTAGAGTCCTGTTGAATTCTTTCATCGAGACACATTGAAAGGCGACGTTGACGAAGGTGTTGGCTGTTTTGTATTCGATGCACGAAGCCAATTATATCGAAGGAGACTTTTCGCAGTGTCGCTTCGGCCTTGGAAGAATGAATAGCGAGTCAATCGGAGTGTCTCTAGGGTAGATACGATTAGAAACATTTCAATAGCATTGCTCGCCGAGAAGAAGCAATTGCCGGTGTCGCGTTCGCTGAGAGACAATGGGATCCAGCTTTAAGCTGGGATAAACGATAATGCTCGAGCTCGAGCATGCTCGTTCGCGATTCACAGCTTAAAAAGACTTTCTCGTCTGGATTAACCATCTGGCTACGAGTATGCTGTAGGGGTTGAAATAAAAATTCAAGGCTAACAAAAACATGGATATTGCTTTTACAAATAATCAATTGAACATTCTTCGAATTTTAATCAGTCTGCCCTAGTAATGTACACCGTTTCGCTGTTTAAGTAAGAAATTCAGATTGAATCATCTGAAACGTGGCCCTCGCCCACGTAATACTGGTAACCTCCTAAGCAATCCCTATCACTCGAAACACTCCCTCTGACAGTCCTTTCATCCACTCGTATCTCGAGTATCGTTTTGTTGAAACCCTTTAAGCCCGGCAGCCGGATGGTCCTCTTGATGTCCATCGATCGTCGCGTATACACCGGCGTGTCCTAGAGATCCCGGTATTTTCCACAATGAGGGGGGTTCGGAGTTTATTCTCGTCGGTAGATCAACAGGTTGGGTCGTGGTCGGTGGTAAAGCCGTCGACGAGGCGTGGTTTCACAGTCGGAAAAAGGCTAATGTGGTGGTCTAGCAATTGCGAACAGAAGGGTTGTTGCGAATAGGGGTCGGGTAGAGGGATGGTTGCCTCGTACAAGGGTAAACGGGGGTTGTCGGTGAGTGTTAAGGCAAAAAGGGGCTGCTCTGACGTCAGGGTGACGCAACGCCGGTTGCAACCCCTTCTCGTCTCGTCGCGCATCTCCGCCCTAGGATTGACATTGACACTGCTCGAGCATCGATCTGTGTCCTCAAACGAGGTGAGAGCCAACTGGCGAGGGTCACCGTGACCGTTTCACCAGCGTTGTTTGATCGGAGGTCATCGGGGAGTGATTTACCTCCTCCGTTCTATTAAACGGTATAGATATACATCCGCTCTGTCTATCGATCTGTTCGCTGTTGCTCGCGAGAGCGTGAAACGACCGATTGCAATTGATTGCTCGTGAACCGCTTTTGTTACTTCAACCCTTTCGCTGTGGGAAAGTTCAGCCCGATAGAAAAATGTTACGGACAAAAATCAGGGTCACCTCTGCTTTTTTTTAAATGCCATCGTTGGGGTCATCGTTAGAATGATTTACCTTCGCGATTCTATTACGGGAACATCGATCGATTCGTTGACGCCACTGGCTAGAATAATTATAGTGGGTGTAGAAAGTCCACGCGTTCAAGCTCGGTTAATTGATACTCTATTAAGAGTCGTTGTTAATTAAGAAACATAATAATTGACTTTCGTGTTTTTCACAAATTCGACCTTAGAAGTCTGTTACAATAATTACCCCTTCGATCGATACAATATTAATTAGAAAATGTTATCATCTATCGCGATTGATTAAAATTGAGCATCGTCTATCGATCGATGATATTTAATTAGACGGTTAGGTATTGTGCAACTATATCGTTTTTCAAGGATTAGATAAACATACGTAGAATTATGCGAATAGTTAAATAGATATTTCACGGTCATTTCACGCGACACGTTGCGCTCATTTATAATAACGCTAACATTAGCTGATATAACGCGCATCGTACGGAAATACGCCCGCTATTATTAAACAACCTAGATTTTACCGTGGAATCTTCGAGAAGAGAATTATTAATGAACGTCGATAATTATAAATGGTCGACAGACTCTCGCTCATCGTTTGCGAATGAACGTGTACGATCGAACCCACGGACGTGTCATGACCGCAACATTTACGGGTCACCGGTGACCCACGATATTTAACTTCCACTGGACGAATAAGGAAATTTCTCTTCTCTCATTTCACGGAAGTTCGATTAAATATTCGCTCACCGTTTCTTCTTAATCATTTCGAACGGGTGGATGGATAATCTATGAGGATGCAAAAGTCGTTTCCAGGGGATGGAACGTATTGCATGGCAATAGCATGAGCACGTGCCAAGGTCAGCCTATCGAAGGGATGAGTTTAAGGTCAGGGGTGCGTCTCTTCTTCGAGGGTGCGAAAAAGGAGATGCTGTGAATAGGAAATGAAGAGATAATAGAATGCTTCGACGGATTGAAAAGGAAGAGTTTGTTTCCCTTTCTCAATTTCACTTGCATAATAGAATTCTTAAAGAAGGGTAGAATTTAATTTTCCAACAAATATTCGTTGCTAGTAACGTTGAAAGACAACGAAGGAATTTCCCATAAAATCGTTCCGGAATTAGATGAGGACAACGTTGCTTTTATTTTAGACGTCGCATACATGGTTCCAGATACGAGATTTTTTTTATAACAATTCACGTAGGCGTCCTGGCATAGGGGAAGATCAATTTAGCTATTGATAACCGTTTACGACCTTGGCCTTGCTCGTTGTAATAAAATTACTCGCATTCGATCAAGATGATTCACACGTGTTCTCGAGCTTCTGCCTTTTGATATTTTTAGAGGCAACTTCTCCTTTTTCTTTTTCTGTCAAAATTCTCGATCTTTTAAATCGTAGTGAAAATAACGGATTTGATCGTGACGCACGGATTTAACCGTTTAAGGGATGAAAATAAATCCAGACAATAATAAGCAGTTTAAACACACTTTCGTGCCCTACGCGTTCGACTGCAAAGAGTTGGCAAGAAAAGAAATGTGTTTACCTTTGGAAGTGTCGGGGGCGAACCGAGGATGGAGAAAAAGTATAAATTTTCAGCAGGGGCTGTCGACGAAGCGTTTAAGCAAACTGCGCTCGAAGATTTGAAATAACACGGGGCTGAAGATGGAAATACAGGGAAACCGGGGACGTATGCGATTCATCTAGATGTTGACCGTCCAGAAATAGTGGCCTGGCGAGTACCGTAAACGCGGAATGGCTGGTATGCGGCCATATAGCGAAGTGCCATTGAATGCTCGCGTAAACTGCATCGTTCGTCGTCGTTGCCTCCACCCTTCAACGAGCTGCTTTCAGTTTGACATTGAAAGACGAAGAGTGCAAGGAACTTTACTCTGTGGCCAATTCTCGACAGCTGGCGTGACTCCATCTTCGTCGCTTAAAGTCTCGACGCGTTTTGAAAGCCTCGAAGATGGTACCATTATTTGAAGGAAATAATGGTATACCAGGAAAACATCTAACCGAATAAGGTTTTGAAAGGGTTCGTCTAAAAATTTGAAGACGCAAGAATCCCCCCTTAACTATCGACTCGACCCTTTCGTTATTGGGTCCGGAGATTCCAGTGGCATGAAACTTTTTAAGAGCTTTTTCCCTCTCGATCCACCTCTTTTTCCTTTTACTTAACACGCGAATTACGAGGCGCGAGGGCGTACTGTCGAGGAAGATGGAACGTGCTTGAAGCGGAATCGAGAGCAAGGATCCCATATGAATTGGCACGAAGCAATGAGTGCATCGGGTGAACGGCCGGCCGTGCATCCAGACTGCAGACGTCCAATAAAAATATCTTACATTAGCTCTCTCTCTCGCTCTCTTTATCTTCTAAAAATCCTCTACCCTCATTCATCGCCAAATTATTTTTATTGTCGGATAAGCGACGGGAACTGTTTGCTCGTTAGCCAATGAGCCGGTCTTAATGAATTAACGGTCGCTTATCTAGCATTCTGTTGTGCAGTTATTAAATTCGAATGCTTTTCTTGTTTCGTTAAATTCGATAACAGGTATCGTGATCTAATCCTACTTCACAGTAGAAAAACACTTTATGTAATCAACTTATGGACGTTCAGTTTCATAAATTAAACTGACGACACATGTACGCATTCCTTTGTAAAAGTGTTTATCTTTCTTTCTGTATATTTTTACTAAGTCAAATAGCTAATTTACTAATTCACAATAGCTGTAAATATATTTACTTATCAACTTACTTGGTATGTGCATGTATTGACGGTGAGTGCATTTATTGTACCGACCTGTCTCGTTTCTCGTATCCATCCATAGGGAGGGTAGAATTTATTCTGCAATATGGAAATCATTGTTTTATAGAATGTAAAAGTAAAAACATTCCGCGAAAGTTGTCCGACTAATTTCGAGCTTTCAGCGTTGAATCATCGAATCATCTTACGTAATGGTACGTACGCGTCGGTGTGAAAATGACGACTTAATTGCCGTGAACGTAAGAATTATAGGCGGTTCGTTGTACGAAAGTCGCGATGTTTCGAGGGGACGTGAAATTTTAATTTACCGCCGACAGTTCTTGTCCACGTGCGGCTCGTGAAACCGCAAATTACAACGACAGAGTAAATCCGACACGCGCTTTCTTATTCGTACGCCAGCGTCTCCCTCACACGAGGGTGAGCGTGAATTTCTCCCGGTGGTTTCGAATTCTCGTGCCAAGTAATTCGTGTCCTGCTGTCACCTCACGCCTTCACGCACGATTTACGAACCATCGTCTACGCTTCTACTTAATCCAGCGTACGCCCCCCGCTTACTTTTCTTTTCTTTTACCTCCATTTACTTTCCCCGGCGCCGTGTGCGACTCGGTTGTAACATCGTACAGAGTGTACACATCAGTGACGACTAGACAGTGTGTTCCTTTAATTCGATGCTGACCGATGTATCTGAAACAAAAATTAAATATTGGTTAATTAAAGATAAAAAAAAATTGCATCTGTTCTCGACACGGTCCTCCCCGATCAACCCTGAAAAGCAAAAATAATCGTACCCTTTTCCTCGAAAGGAATGGTCAATGTACTTATTTCCTAACTTCCTTTCTGCTCAGACGAATCGTAAAATGGTAGGTTTAACCTGCGTGTCCCTGAATTTGGCGAGCAGGCTCGCGTGGGTGATTTTATCCGATCGAAGGGGATGCACTTTTATTCAGATATGCCTCTGTTATTTCGATATTATGCTAACAACGTTATAAACAATGAACATCCAGAGCAGTCGAGCATTGAAAACGATTCTTGTACGCATTGAGTGCAAGAGAGCCACTTGTGTAAATATAGAACACGCGATATATCGCCGATTTATCAGTGGCGAATACAGAGGGGTGTCTTTTTTATATTCTCAAGTATTGAATAAAATAGGGGTATAATTATAATATTTCTCGTTTGCCTTAAGGATATTATCGATAACGTTATCAATAACAGTAGCTGTAGGCGAAATCGGTAACCCTGAGGTACAGGTACAGCACGTCCCTGAATTGAGTCAGCCTGGTCGCGTGGGTGATCCTGGTGAAACGGAGGGGATAACCCTCGTATGTTGGTTAGGGTGGGGGGTCGGGAGGGCGGGTCTAAGGACGGTCAACCGTGGCACGGACAGACGGACAGACGGACGCACAGGGTACCGATAGGGATGCACCGACCTTGAAGGGATTTTTGCGTCTACCGTCGTACGTTCACCCCGTCAGCAGCAGAGCGAACGTACCCGTAGTGCTGCTGCTGCTTCTCTGAGAAACGCGACTCCCTCTTTCTTGGCTCTTTGTCTCCCCTTTCGTTCTCGGCCCTTCACCCCTCGCTGCCAGCCAACTACTTCTGTAGCCGGCCCTTTTTTCTTTTTTTTCTATCGTCTTCGTTCCAGGCTGAAACTCGTCGGGAATCGGCCGCCTTCTACCCTCGAAACCCTCTCCTGGCGACGCTCCAGGGGCGGAATTTTTGCGGTGGCGTCTTTGTCAGGACACCTTCGAGACAATGGAAGGGACGGATAAATGGGAGAGCTGGTTCAGTTTTCTCAAGTTCTTCTCAGCTGGACGTTTCAGACTTTGCTGATGTTCCTTTGCTTTTTTATTCGCCGGCTCCTAGACTGGATTTTAGAGATCGAACGAATGTTGCGGTACGATTGTAAGAGACGAGTGTTTGCAATTGTACTATGAGTTATAATTCGAACGTGGGTAGAGATTGGGTTGATGAGAAATTTCATTGAATAGCCGAAATAATATAGACACATTTGATGAAAAAGAAGGAGTACTTTGATGGATCGTTGGAAGGATGCAGTCGGTTCATCATGATGGTGGCACGTGCTCACCACGAGCCATCCCTGGTGGCCGATGCATCCGACAGATTAGGCTACACGTACGCGATATGCACGTGCGTGGCGTGTGCCCAATAGTGCGTGCATCGCTCTCCGCACAAAGCGGAGGTCGTAACCTTGTTGGTAGCCGTGGAAGGGTCGAACGATTTACGCGGTCACGAGGTGAGATCGGAAAAGCCGATAAGGCATCGCGTATAATTAACGATGCTTTCCACGTACTCACGTGTATATCGACGTCGTCCGTGAAACGACAATCCTCTCCCTCGCAACTATAACTGTCTCTTTTACCTTTGTTTCTAGGAAGTTACTGTTCTTCTTCGAGAATAGCAATAACCGTTTACGGGACGTGTCCTTTGAAAGATTTATGAAACACACGAATCAGACTTTTATGAAACATTGTACGATGAGTTTATTCTCGTAACAGTTTCTTCATCTTTAATGAATATTTTGATATTCTATTTGAATATTGTTAATATCGACATACTTGGAAAAGTAGTCAGATTCTTGTTCCCTGAATAGATAATTAAATATCTGAATGTGTATTTTCCTGGAAATAAATAATCATTGAGTATGATTCATATGACATGAGTATACATCACTCGCAACAGACTCGTGTGTATCCCAAAAAAGTCCTCAGAAAACAGGAGATTAGATGGTGACCTTGTTGAAAGGCTGTCCGCCATCGTTTCCAGAGGTCGGACTTAATTAGTGCGAGAAGCTCGGCGATCATTGTCGTTTAATTAATTGCCCGTCGGCAAAGCCAGATAAACCCACGGGAGTATACCCCCCAAGAGCTTTGGATCGCTTCATAATCGTCCGGTACACGATAGAGAACGACGAACGGATCAAGGTTCGCTGATTGAGATTGCTTCGATAACTAACATTATTCGTTTTCATCTAAACATTAGCAAATATAACAGCAGTCTATCTGTTAGCAAAATTTCATTCAACGAACGATGAAACGATTAATTGTCACAGAGGTATCACCCTTATTCAAAAGACAAAGAGTTGGCAGTCGAACGAACGATGCTCGAATTGATATCAATTGAAGCACGAAGATGCAGAAGAAAAAAAGAACGGCAGTTAAACAGGCAATTAATAGAGGCACGAGCAGAAGAGGAAATAAAAAGATGGCCGTGTGGGAACAAGATGGCACGACCTCGAAGGGCGCGGTCGAGTTCAGGCTAGACTGAAGCTGCCCTTGTGCCTAACCGACCTTGAGACAGCCCGTTTTGCCATAGCCTGACTCCACCGGCCCCATACCATCAACGCATCCTCTCCTTGCTGCACAAAGAAACTGTCCTCGCTGGGAATCACCTCAGTCCATTACCAGGAATTTTGCAAACGGAATTTCGCCGTTTCGGGAAGATCGTTCTCTGGGAACAGGTGTTCAACGACCATATAAGATATTCCTAGAGTTTCTTTTCTGTCTCGATCATTTCGGCATAATCTAATGCCCTGATGAATGGCAATTCAAAAATAGTATTTCTTAGTTTGAAAGGATGAATGAGAATTTTTCTTAAATCACTGATGAGGATTATGTTGAACTTCCATGTCTTCTTCCGAAAGTTTCATTTAAGAAGGTAGGAGTTTGCGAATGAATCATCGTTGATATTTAAAATAAAAAGAAATGTTTCCGCCCGGGATCGAACCGGGGACCTTGTGCGTGTGAAGCACACGTGATAACCACTACACTACGGAAACGTTGCTATCGACTTTGAATTTTGTGCATCGGAGGTGCCCAGATGCATTCGTATGAATTAATCGATCGAAATAATTGGAAAAATGCATCCTTCGGCAATTCGGTCAAACGAATCAGAAAAATTTTATATAGACAATAAAATATATTGCGTTGTCTCGAGTGGCATATATTCCTTGTATGGATAAATTAAATGCATAAAACAGATTTTCATCATTCAACGAATTCAACTTGATTCTCTTATTGCGTTAAATGTTTTTCGATGGCGTTTTCTGTGAAAGCTGCCGAACAACTGGTAAAACATAAAATCGGCTGTAAATGGTAAACAAGGTCAGTTAGGACAAACGCGTGTATAAACATTTTTTTATTGTTTCCGCGTATTGATTTTTAAAATCGTCTGCGATCGTATCCACGCTTTGTAGCAACCTTCGGTAAAACTTTTTCAAAACATTAATCTCTTAACAATTATCCGATGTGAAAAACATCTTATTGATCGGTAAATTTTGTCGAATGGTTACTCGCCAAAGATTTGAAAGATTCTTTAGACAAGTTTCGTGGAAAAAGAAGGAATTCGTACATAAATAGAACTGACCTGCGCTATCAGGTCCAACGCGTGCTCCTTTGTCCGCAGATTTCTTGGAACATCATCGTCGTTCTCTTTAGAATTTTTCATTATCTGTCCAGTGTATAGAGATATCTGTGCAAACTAAAGGACAATTGTTCCTGATCTATTTATCTTTCAACAAACGCTTCTCTGATGTAGATTCGCTTTAGTATAATTGAGGAAGCCTGGTCGATTTTACGGGTTTAATGAAGAGCTACGGGACAGGTTGACGGGTCTTGCAATAATAGAAAGCCATGGTTCTCCAGTTCGCTAAACTCGTTGCTACACCGTGTCATCGTGGTTGCTCTGACGAAACTTTTACTTTTACCGAGGAGAAAGTGCACTGTCGTCTGCACCTCTCCCGATTCCGCTTAGAATGCACTGCGATGCAACGCGAAATTCGTGCATGCATACGAACATCGTATGCTTCGTTCCAAATCACCGGCGCTTTAGATCTGGAAACGATCCAAAGCAGTCAGCATAAAAAATATTCTAAATGAAAAGTGAAATATGAAAAATCACAAGAAATATTTGAAATTGTATCGCTATGATTAATGTTTACGAAAAAGTGCATCAAGTTGGATACCTGCAACGCTCGGTGTTAACAAGCATCCGCGGAATTAACGGCCATTGTACTTTTCCCATTTAAGGGGTGACACACTTTCTGTGGCCAGGATCGCGAGAAAACGTGCAATTCCGTGCTGGTTCGTTTCGTTTCCTGGTTGGAGCAACGATCCGGCCGGTCGTTAGCCGCGGCACGTTGCATCGTGTGCATGCTGTTGCATATTGCATCGTCCGATTGTCTGGCGAAGCAATCACGCTGAAACATAGGAAAGCCGCGAATCAACCAGTCATCTCGTAACCAACCCAATTTTTACCGGCAAAGGGGACTGGAAAGGTTTCCTTGTATCTATCTGATGCATCGAAGAATGAATTTAAGCGAATTAAGCGAAGTATTCAAAGCGTTGCATGGATGATTCACTTTCTATTACTGAAACTTTTCATACAATAAATTTGAAAAATTAACATTCTACTCATACATTTTTCATTGTAGAATGGTCTGAAAAGTCTACCTATGTAAATAGACAAAAAGTGCAGTTGCATTTTTGGGTGCATCCTTGCACTCAACGTTCTGGCATGAAAGGTGTTAAGAAAGAAAAAATATCATCCAGTAGATGGTATTTTAAAATAGATATTGAAGAGTTCTCTTCTGAGGGATGTTCCTTAGCTAAATCCAGGAAGACGATCGTCTAGATCGCTTAGAGTTTCACAGTCTACTCTCTCCG